GCTGGGCCTGGGTGGGGGGTCGGTCCTGCTCCGCTCCCGACGCGGGCCCTCAGACTTTGCCGCGGCCCCTCAGAGACAGCGCGGCTCAGCCCTCGGCCCCGCTCGGGGAGAAATACCCTTTGCTCTCGTTCCAAGAGCCAGGAAGGAGGGAGAGAGAGGTGCTGTCTGTCAGGGGCTCAGAGGATTTTTATCATACCGTGAACAAGTAAACGTGTACCAAGAAACGGCCAGGAGGTTTTAGAGCCCAGCAGTTTAAGCAACAGTGTTTGTAGAGAGAGGCCACCTGTATTAGTCCCACAGCAGACATCTCTCCTGATCAGCACAGCTCGTGACTATGAGTTACTGCCATAAGCACTTCAGCACAGGTAATACAGATGAACTGAAGACTGTTACTTATCATAAAGAAAACCTTAATTACCTCTAAGTAAAATGAAGTACTCTGTTTCCCCCACAACTACAGCAAACGATTATGTTTTTCTCAACATCACAAGCAGAACAACGAAAATTGGAAGTTCCTGTTGTGGTGGGGAGAAACAGTGACTCTGGAAAGCTGTGATGGTAAGGAGCATTTGCAACTGCACGGCGTGGTGAGGTATGGTCATGTTTTCTGTGCTTTTCATGGCCAGGCTGCTCACAAGGATTCCAGAGGCTCACAGCAAGTCACACGGGAAGCAATCTCGTGAATCCTGCTCACTGGCCTTTTCTCCCAGGGAGCATCTGCCGTATCTAAATCATTCCTGACAGATGCCTGTCTAACCTGTTTTCAAACCTCTAGTGCTTTCTCAGTCTTCCCCAGGCAATCTCCTCCTGCACTTTATTATACTTATGGCTGGAGACAAGAAGCTAGATCTCCACGTCCTGTAGTTTCAGCCCCAATACTGTTTCTCCTGTTTCTAGAGAACATTAGTAAAAGATTCAATCCCTGAGGAGAATATAAAAAAGATGCTGCAAAGCTGGAAACTTCCAAGTGTCTCCTCAGTCTTCCCTAGATTTAAAAGCACGAATTCTTTTGCTCTTTCCTCACAGGCCACTTCATACACACATTTTGCCTGTTCTCTGAACCCTCTCCAGCTGGTTTACATTTTTCTTGAAGTCTGGTGTCCGCTACTAGGCCCTACATTCACATTGTCAGTGCTAAATCGATTGAGAAGGTTATGTGATGTGCCAGAATTTACCCCTGTTTCTACATGCCCCAAACATTTGCCTTATTTTTTTTTTTGCAAGTGTCACATTCTTGATGCACCTGCAGCTTATGATCTGTTCCACCTCAGAGGCTTTTTCAAATCGCTCCTGCCTAGCCAGTCTTTTCCCATGTCAGATTTGTACTGAAGATCAATGTCCTTTTTGAATACATTCTAAGCATCTCATCTCTGAGGCGGCAGGAGATCCCTCACCTCTAAGCATCAGCATCAACTCCTTGAGTAGTGCTGATGCAGTTGTTTGTAGGCCTGCACTATCTGCTGTATCAGTGAAACAACTCAGTCTAACAAAAAACAAAGAGTGGGGGAGGGAAAGACAAAGATAGTTTTTGTGCTCTTTTTTAATCCAGATAATTTTGTTGATCTGATTTACAGAGCAACCCTGCAAAACCAGTTTCTTGTGTTTGAGGTCACTGAACATCTCATTAGTCAAGCTGGTCTCTTACTACCTTCCTGTCCTTCCTACACACTGGGATAATTTCCAGCGCTGCTCATAATGCTGTTGAACTTCTCTAAGCTACTTTCCTCTTACACTCAATTTTTCTCTTCTGCCGCCAGTTCCCAAAGTAAAGTCTGGTCTTTTTTTGAGGCCACTGTCTTTAGTCTTCCACTCTCCCTTCTCCTTTGCCAAAGCTTTGAAAAAACATTTCAACAACAAGCAATAGATTTTTTTTCCGCCAATTTGAAGTTAACAAAAATCATTATTTCTTCAGACTTTGCATTAACATTTAAAATGGTTCAGTGACAGGAGACTGTAAGGAACCTGCAAATTGCAGAGCGATTGTGACACAGCTTTCATGGCTGGCTGGGATCCTCAGCCTGCTTTCTTCATCCCTGTGCTCCAGAAGCTTGCCTCTCTTGCCTTCTCTCCCTCTTCCATATTATCCCCTTTTTGCATCAAATCTCCTGTCACTCCCAGAAAACAGGGCAGTTTAAAAACATATGACTCTGACTCAACCATTTGTAGTAAACTGCTCAAGCTTCCTTGGGCTGTGTGTATTTGATGAGACCTGCATTGTGTTGTTAGGCAGTGGCTTGGCAAGCGCTAGCTTGTTTGCAGTGCCGAGAACCCTGTCTGCTCTCAGTGACTGAAACTTTCCGCCAAATTGGGCAGACTTACCCTGTTTATCAATCCACAACTCTCAAGATTTCATCTACTTTTTCAATGTCAGCTATATTTCTTTAAAACACACCTGCTGGAGCAAGATAATTCATGTAAAATGCAGCTTACACAAGCAAGAAATCAAGCTTTAATAGCTATAGAGGGACACCTGAAAACCAATGAGAGGGGCATCAAAACACAGGGCAAATGTGGGGTTTTTTTGCTTACACAAACTATAATTATGGTGGCTCCAACTCATTTCTTCTTCGAGAGAGACCTGTGGTTGGCAAGCAAAAGAGTTCTTTTTGCAGACATCTCCAGTTTCACTGCAGCTCACTCCTTAAAAAAGAACAAAAAGCAAAGTCTCTAAGCCAGTTTACATTTCTGCCTGTGAAACTAACAACTAGGCAGGTAGGTTTCAAAATAGCAATCAAGGCAATGTCAAGGCTTTGATTTTAAATGGAAAGCTTACAGCACTCTTGAGCAAAGTTTAACCTGTCTCCCTGGTTAGTGTCACCAACGCAGGATTGCAAAAATTATTCTGTGGGAAAGCAGTAGGATGATTTACAGTCTTTCCTTGTCCAATAGGAAGACAGGAAAGTGCCAAATCTGCTGCCAAGTGCAGTTCTGCAAAGGAGGTTCCCACCTGAATCAGCTTTAGAATCTCACAAAAAAGCTATTGCTGTTTCTTTTTAAATCTTGTTTTTCAGATTTGAAGGTGCTTATTTTTTTCCACGTAAATCTGCATACATATTTTTGAAGATCTCAGTACTTCATTTAAAGCCTCATTTAGCCAGACTGCCTCAGTCTAAAATAACTTCAGTTACAAGAGGTCCCTGCCAATTTCCTTGGGACAGAGAAGCACACAAGCGCATGCGCGGGCACAACCCCTCTCCCCATATCTTTTCAAATTACTTAGATAAAAAGGGGCATGCCTCCCTTTGCTAGCTTCTTCTGTTGCATCTGGAGCCTCTGGCAGGATCTGAGGAATCTGTATAAGCATTTATAAGAGCACTTATATGTCCCTTCATTTCATATAGTAGGTGTTCTGATAAAATCCTTCCTATCAATATTTATGTATTTCTTGGACACCAATCTTTGTAGTGAAGTTTTTTATACTCATTTATAACTTTAGGGTACTTTCTGTTTATTAGAGTGGAAATGCAGATGTTGTTCCGTGACTACTTTTTAATTAAAATAATAATAAGGTAGGAGAAAGAGTGAAATATGGTGTCAATTGCACAATGCTGTATGAAGGCTTTTTTTTTTCTAACACAGCATGGTAATTGTCTTGTACTCCAAAGGATGGAATAAGATCACTGGCTTGCATCATTGCAAAAGTTACTACAGAACACAAGAAAAATAGAGCATAAGAGTAGGCAGAGGTGTTGGGAAATAAGGTTGATTAACAATGCATGGGTAATTCGCTGCAGGGTATGAAGAATTGTGTGGGTGAGTATATAAGTGATTTAAAAAAAAGGCATCTATGTACCTGCTACAGTTACTCAGTACTGTAAGACCGTGAGAACAAATGTTTCTGGAACAAAGCCCACAATTCTTAGTGGCTTAAGTATCTTTTCCTTAATTTATGCAGAATCTTACTTTATAATCACAGAATATTACTTTATAATCAAAAAAGCCATCCCATACAGAACTATAAGAATTTGTAACAAACCAAACCATTTACACTGGGACAAAAAAAAAGAGGAACTTGAAATTACAAACTGCAGAGTTCTTGCCACATGTGGCAGTTCAGTAACGCTTTATTTATTTTATTTTTATTTTATTTCTAAGTTAAAATA